TCAGGATTTGAACCCAGCTCCTCTGCTGCTGCATCCAGGGCTCTGTCCTCTATCCCAGGCCGAATGGTCTCTCTGCCTCTCTGCGCCTTTGTCCTAGAGGCCCTCACCTCCCCAGCTTTCTCATGAGCCTGCTTGTAGCAATAGATGAAATGTGAGACCTGTTTTTTGGAAAGAGCCAATCTGTCCTGAGGCACACCTCAGTATCTGGTACTAAGACCGATGCCGTAAACAAAAGTCAACTTGTGAAGGCGGCAGGCCAGAGTAGGCTCACAGGCCTTTAATTAGCTGGCTGTATTTTTTAAGCTAATGTGAATAGACAGCTAAGTGGTGCAGTGGGAAAGCGTGATGGAGGCAGTTGGAGCCGTGTTCAACTGTGACCCCAGAGGCTAGCTGTGTGACCCTGGGCAAGTCAATTAATAGTCAAGAAACATTTATTTAAACACTTACTGTGTGCCAGGCACTGGGCCCAAAGGCAGGCCCTGCTCTTGAGCTCACAGCCTGATGGGAGACAACGTGCAAACAACTACATACATGCAAACTAGGTACAGGTTAAATGGAGATAATCAACAGGGAGAAAACACTGGAATCTCTCAGCCTCAGTTTCTCAATGATACCACCTACCTCACAGGGCTGTCGTAAGGATCAAATGGAATATTATTTGTAATTATTTAAAGCCCTGTAGAGATGCTAGCTATTATTGTTATGGTTTAGAGATAAGGTTTGGGATGACTTTTCCTGCCTAACTCTTAATAGAAAAAAACGATCCGAGGCTAGGATCATTTTATAAGAGATGAAACACGCATTGGAAATAGTCACCTTACAGTGGGCTCCTCCTCTACACAAAATGAAACAATAAGAGCTAGAAGGTGCCTGAGGCAAGATTTGAATACTGATTTCAAATCCAAAGCTCTTTACCCCACACTGCCAAGAAGAAACCACTCTGACCAATCAAATTGGCAAAAATAATTAAAAGTGACAAAATTCAATGTTGGTGGAACTGCTAGAAAACAGGTACAACTCACTGTGTAGTACGTCGGAACTCCTAGCCTAACAGCTTTGGACTCCAAAGACCCAGGTTTGAATCTGAGCTCTGCTACTCACTATTCTGACCTTAGACAAGACCCTTCTCTTTAGGTCATAATTTCCTCAATGGTAACACAAAGGGGTTGAACTAAATGTCCTCTAAGGCCCCTGCTGGCTCTAGCATTCAAAGTCCTAAGATTTCACCTCTAACATACTACAGCATTCAATCTCCCATCTCCATACCTTTTCACTGGCTATCTCCCATGCCTAGAATCCCTTCCTTCTTCACTTGGGTATCCTGGCTGCCTTCAAGACTCAACTAGGGGCAGCTAGGTGGCACAGTCGATAGGGCACCAGCCCTGGAGTCAGGAGGACCTGAGTTCAAATTTGGCCTCAGACACATGATACGTACTAGCTGTGTGACCCTGGGCAAGTCACTTAACTTCTATTGCCTTGTGCAAAAAAAAAAAAGACTCATCTGAAATCCTACCTTCTGTAGGAGGCCTTTCCTGGCCTCTCCCAGCTGCCAGGGCTTTCCTCTGTGATTGCCTCTCATCTGATTCATATATATGTTATGTGTACATAGTTGTCTTTCCTTTAGAATGTCAGTTCCTTGGGGGCAGGGACTGTTTTTGCCTTTTTTAATATCTCCAGGGCATATACTATAGTGTATATACGTTTTTGTTGTTCAGTCTTTTACATTGTGTCTAACTCTTTGTGACCCCATTTGGGGGTTTCTTGGACAAGACACTGGAGTGGTTTGCCATTTCCTTCTCCAGTTCATTTTACAGTTGAAGAAACTGAGGCAAATAGGGTTAAGTGACTTGCCCAGGATCACGTAGCTAGGAAGTATCTGAGGTCAGATTTGAATTCAGAAAGACCAGTCTTCCTGACTCCAGTCTCAGTACTATGTCCACTGCACCACTTAGCTGCCCTGAAAATTGTTGTAGATTCATGTCCAACTCTTTGTGACTCCATTTTGGGTTTTCTTAGCAAAGATACTAGAGTGGTTCACCATTTCCTTCTCCACGTCATTTTACAGATGAGGAAACTGAGGCAAACAGGGTGAAGTGACTTGCCCAGGGTCACATAGCTAGTAAGTGCCTGAGGTCAGATTTGAACTCTGGAAGATGGGTCTTCCTGAATGTAGGCCCACCACTCTCTGGAATAGTATGTAGTATATAGGCACATAGAAAGTGCTTTTAAAAAGAATGGTTCTTGACTGATAAATAATTGTACCAAACTTGTAGATCAGAAAAAAAGATATAGCTTTAGAAAGGGTTTTAGTTTTAAGCAGCTCAAAACAGGTAGTGTATTCCTCTTATTTATTCTGAAGACAGATTAAAACTGGCAAGGGCATAGTAAAGAAGAGGTAAGAACTTTTGTCCCCACTTTTCAGATTAAGAAATTGATATTCCAGGGGCAGCTAGGTGGCGCAGTGGATAGAGCACCGGCCCTGGATTCAGGAGGATCTGAATTCAAATCCGGCTCAGACACATAACACTTACTAGCTGTGTGACCCTGGGCAAGTCACTTAACCCCACTGCCTAGCCAAAAAAAAAAAAGAAAGAAAGAAATTGATATTCCTTAAGACATTATTGGACAGCTCTTTGTATACTTTGTAGCCTCCTTCCACAAACACACACACACACACACACACACACACACACACATGCATGTACAGCATTTGTTCAAAACATTTCAAGTGATCTGAGAAAAGCTTTGGTCCCTTTAAGGAAAGAAAAAAAGTCTGTCTCCCAAATTGTGTATTATAAGAAGCAGTTACAGTAAAGCTCCTCGATTTGAAGCCGGAGCTTTGATTAAGGAGGTGACTCGGGAGGATGTGATTGCTGTCTCGGAGCACTGGAAGGGCCGCTATGTGAAAGAGGGATTAGCTTGTTCCAGTTGGCCCCAAAAGACAGGATGGGAAGCAGCAGTGGGTGGAAGCTGCAGAGAGATGGATTTAGGCTGGATACCAGAAAACACTTCCTGATCATTTGAGCTCTTCCTCAGTGGACTGGGCTGCCTGGCCGAACGGTCCCCTTGTTCATGGAATTGGGGAGAGGGCATTCATATTAAACCATGGGTTTGATGAATTGGCTTCTGGGGTTCCTTCCAGCTCTGAGAGTCTGTGAACTGTGTGGAGAATTGCGTGCCTACTATCTAGGAAGGAAAAAAGAAGCCATTTTCTGTGTTTCTCCATCTTTCATTTAGTCATTAATCTTAGCCAATGCTTAGCACCGTGCCTGGCATATGGCAGGTGCTTAATAAGCGCTTAGTGACTTGTAACCTTGACTTTCCGTAGAGCTAGGCTTTTCTGTCTCTTTTGACTCTTCCCCTTCTCATCCTTCCTATCATACTGGGACTGAAATGTGGCAATTCAGAGTGTCTGGGTCTGGCTGCATGGACCCCTAACAACCTTTGTGTTATTGCATAGGAGAATATCTTCATCAGCCGTCTTATGGGTCCTTTACCCTCTATGGCTTATGTTGGAGTTGAAAAAGCATTCTATTTGGATTCAAATCTCACCTCAGATACTTACCAGCTGTGTGTCTTGAAACAAGTTGCTTGATCTGAGTCTTAGTATGCCCTGGTAAAATAGCGGTGATGGGGGGCAGCTAGGTGTCACAGTGCATAGAGCACTGGCCCTGGAGTCAGGAGGACCTGAGTTCAAACCCAGCCTGAGACACTTGACACTTACTAGCTGTGTGACCCTGGGCAAGTCACTTAACCCCATTGCCTAGCCAAATAAAATAAAATAAAATAATAGAGGGGTGATGGTAGCTCCCGCTGCCTCATAAGATTGTTGTGAGGTTCAAATGAGATGGTGTATGTGATGCTTTGCAAACCTCAAAGTACTCTACAAATATCTGTTGCTGTCACTATTACAACTACTTTTTTCAGCCTCAGTTTCTTCATCTGTAAAATGGGGATAGTTATGGCTCCCACCTCATTGGCTTGTTGTGAGGATCAAATGAGATGATATATGTGAAATTCCTTGCAGCCTTTAAGGCACTGTATAAATAAATGTCAGTTATTATCTGAGTTAGCTTGTGTAAGTCACTTATTTTCTCTAGGCTTGATTTTACTCTGGAATTATAGACCTAGAACTGAAAGGAATCTCAGAGTTATCTGGTCCAACTCCCTTATTTTACAAACTGAGGCCCAGAGAAGTTAAATGACTTACCCAGAGTAACTCAGGTCATCTGTTCAGTCATTTTTCAGGCTGTCTGACTCTTCATGACCCCGTTTGGGGTATTTTTGGCAAAGATACTGGAATGGTTTGCCATTTCCTTCTCCAGCTCATTTTATAGATGAGGAAACTGAGGCAAACAGGGTAAAGTGACCTGCCCAGGGTCACACAGCTAGTAAGCATCTGTAGCCAGATTTGAACTCAGGAAAATGAGTCTTCCTAACTCCTGGCCTGGCACTGTGCCACCTAGCCATCCCAACTCAGGTAAGTAAAACTGGCATTTGTATATAGTAGTTTAAAGTTTGCAAGAGTAGAATATAGTGAATTGAGAGCTGACCTCCAAGGCAGAAGGCTGGATTTCTGTCCTGCCTCTGATCTGTATTGGCTCAGAGTCCCAGGCAACTCTCAAAGACGGTATTACAGAGTCTTTGCCAATTTGCACTGATAGTGAGGGTTTGCAGTACCAATGTCCTTGCAATACCAAGTCTTGTCTAAATTTTTTTAAAGGTTTGCAAAGTGCTTTACACATATTTACCTGATTTGGTCCTCACAAAAACTCTATGAGCTTGGTATTACAGGTCTAATTATTCCCATTTTATAAATGAGAAAACTGAGGCGAGAGGATGAGCTATTTGCCCGAGGTCTTATGGGTTGTAAATAGAATAGCTGGGATTGGAACCCGGCACACTTTCTACCAAATAATCTTTCGAGTTCTAAAGCCTGTGGTTGAATAACCAGTGGGTTCTAAGCTCTCTTCTCTGCCTGTATTTTTTTTTCCCCTTAGGCCTCAGTGAAATCCAGTGCTCCCTGCCCATGGAAAACAGAAGGATCTTTCTGCACGAGCTGTCCGAAGCCAGTTTTAGCGAGTGCAGATTCAGCCTCTCCCTGACAGACCTCTTCATCATCATCTTCTCGGGCGTGGCCGTGTCCATAGCTGCCATCATCTCCAGCTTCTTCCTGGCCACTGTGGTCCAGTGCTTCCAGCGATGTGCTCCCAACAAAGATACAGAGGATGAAGATGAAGAGGAGGATGACTGACCTGGGAATTCCTCGTACTCTGTGTCCCATCTCAGAAGCCCATCTCAGAGAAAAGAAGGGAAAATGGCGGCTACTGGAAAGTGTTGTTTGCCATCAGAGCAAGGTCAAGAAGACCTTTCTCCCTCTTCTAGAGCTGGAGGTCTCAGACCCTGTTGGCGTGGCTTGGGGCCTTTGTTCTCAGGGCTTAGAAGTCAGCAGAAAGAGAGGGGTCCAGGGGAACCATCCTTTTGTTGTCCAGCCTCTGAGAAAAGCCATGCCCTGGGTTGGGTTGGCAAGGAGAGCAAAGGTCAAAGCAAGCTTCCTGTCTGAGGGTGAGGAGGCCCAGCCAGGAAATTAGAGGACTCATCGCCTTTGACTAGAATGATGATTTGAGTCCATTTGTTTCTCACTGACCTTACTGGGGTGTTGGCCACAGGGTGGGGCCAGACCCAAATATCCTCCATCTCCCAAGTAACAGCTTGGGGTTCAAGCCCAGAGCCAGACTGACTAGAGAACTGTGACTTGGAGTCGTGAAGACCTGGGTTTGAATCCTGCCTCAGACACTTACTAACCACATGACCTGAGGCAAGTCAGTGGACCATCCTGAACCTCGATTTCCTCATCTGTAAAATGGGGATGATCACAGCACCTACCTCACAGGGTTATTGTGAGGGTCAGATGAGATATTGCGTGTCAAGTGCTTTGTAAACTCCACGGCACTTTTGTAAATGTTTGATGTTATCATTACTGTCCAATGCTGACTAGCAGAGAGCTTGCTTCAGAATTTAGAAGATCTAGGTGCTAGCCTTGCCTCTGCCTCTGCCTCATACTGCCAAGGGACTTTAGCTTGGCAGTGCCCCAGGCAGGTCTGTAAGTCTTGGGCCAGGTGGTGATCTGCACTGAAAGAGAAAGTTATTTCCCAGGAGCTCCAATAGTGATGAAATCACAAGCCTGATCCATGCCCCCCCCCACACACAAAGAAATTATTATTGTTGTATTTCTCATTAGAGGCAAGAAGTAAACACATTTTTTATATAAAAATAAGTCACAAGAGCCAGTTAATGACTTGAGATAATGGGTTAGATTCTGAAACCTAGCATTTTAAGGGGGGAACAAATGAGCTGCTGATCCCACCCAGGGAAAGTAGCTAAGTACCAGAAGTACCAGCTAATAGCTTGGGGCTGGGGAAAAAAGATATGAGAGGGGATTGGATGAAGTCAGTGAAATTCTCTCCTAATCTACAAAATCAATTTGTAGAACCAAGGAAATGCAGGGCAATTTAAATTGTGTCATTCCCCCCAGAAGAATGCCCCCCAAATGCAATCAGTCAGGAAATAAGTATTTATTAAGTGGCTGTTGTGTGCCAGGCATGGTGCTGGGTATTAGGGGCACAAATCAAAAGCAAAAGACAGTTCCTGGTCTCAAGGAACTCACTGTCTAGTGGGAGAAACAACTGCAAATGAGAATGTACAGAAATGGTGATGATCACAAAGGGGATGGCGTGAGCATTAAGGGGGATTGGGAAAGGCTTCTTCTAGGAGGTAAGATTTCAGCTGGGACTTCCAAGAAGCCAGGAGGCAGGAGGAGGAGGGAGCGTTCCAGCCGTGGGGGACAGCCAGTGCAGATGCAAAGAGTCCAGAGGTGGAGGGTCTTATGGGAGGAACAGCAAAGAAGCCAGTGCCACTGGATCAAAGAGGAATAAGATATCACAAGACTGGAAAAGTAGGAGGGAGCCAGGTTATGCAGGGCTTTAAATGCCAAACAGCCGTTTTCCTGTATTGTGTCAATTTTCTTTTTTTTTTTCAAATATAAATTTATTTATTTTTAGTTTTCAACATTCACTTCCACAAGTTTTTGAGTTCCAAATTTTAGCCCCATCTCACCCCTCCCTCCACCCCAAGATGGCATGCATTCTGAATATCCCTTCCCTAGTCTGTCCTCTCTTCTATCTCTCCCCCTTTCTCTTATCCCCTTCCCCTTCTATTTTCCTGTAGGGCAGGATAGACTTTTATACCCCATCTTCTGTATTTCTTATTTCCCAGTAGCATGTGAAAACATTTTTTTTAAACAAATGTTTTTAAAACTTTAGGTTTCAAATTTTCTCTTCCTCCCTCCCCACCCTCATTGAAAAGGCAAAACTCAATAGGTTACATGTGCAGTTATGCAAAACATTCCATAGTAGACATGTTGTGAAAAACTAACTCTATTTCCCTTAATCCTATCCTGCCCTCCATTTATTCTATTCTTTCTTTTGACCCTGTCCCTCCTCAGAAGTATTTCTTCTGATTACCCCTTTCCCAATCTGCCCTCCTCTCTATCATCCCCCGCTCTCTTGTCCCCTTCTCCCCCTATTTTCCTGTAGGGTAAGACAGATTTCCATACCCAATTGAATGTGTATGTTATTCCCTCCTTAAGCCAAATCCTATGAGAATAAGATTCCTCATTCCCTCTCACCTTCCCTGTTTCCCCTCTGTAAGAGACTTTTCTTTTCTGTTTTTTTGTGAGATAATTTACCCCATTCTACCTCTCCCTTTCTTCTTCTCCGAGTATATCCTCTCTCATCCCTTAATTTTATTCTCCAGATATGACCCCTTAATCTTCAACTCACCCTGTGCCCTCTATCTATCTATCTATATATATATATACATACATTAATTTTTTTCCTCAACTACCCTAATACTGACAAAGGTCTCATGAGTTATAAATATCATCTTTCCATGCAGGAATGTAAACAGTTCAATCTTAATAAGTCTCTTATGATTTCTCTTTCCTGTTTACCTCTTCATGTTCCACTTGAGTCCTGTATTTGAAAGTCAAATTTTCTATTCAGCTCTGGTCTTTTCATCAGGAATGCTTGAAAGTCCTCTATTTCACTGAATGACCATTTTTCCCCTGAAGGATTATACTCAGTTTTGCTGGGTAGGTGATTCTTGGTTGTAATCCTATCTCCTTTGCCCTCTGGAATATTATATTCCATGCCCTGCGGTCCTTTAATGTAGAAGCTGCTAAATCTTGTGTTATCCTGATTGTGTTTCCTCAGTACTTGAATGTTTCCTTCTGGCAGCTTGTAATATTTTCTCCTTGACCTGGGAACTCTGGAATTTGGCTATATATTCCTAGGAGTTTTCCTTTGGGGATCTCTTTCAGGAGGAGATCTGTGGATTCTTTCAATTTCTATTTTGCCCTCTGGTTCTAATATATCAGGGCAGTTTTCCTTGATAATTTCTTGAAAGATGATGTCTAGGCTCTTTTTTTGATCATGGCTTTCAGATAGTCCAATAATTTTTAAATTCTCTCTCCTGGATCTATTTTCCAGGTCAGTTGTTTTTCCAATGAGATATTTCACATTGTTTTCTAATTTTTCATTCTTTTGGATTTGTTTTACAGTGTCTTGATTTCTCATAAAGTCACTAGCTTCCAATTGCTCTATTCTAATTTTTAAGGAAGTATTTTCTTCAGTAATCTTTTGGACTTCCTTTTCCATTTGGCCAATTTTTCTTTTTAGGGCATTTTCTCCTCATTGGCTTTTTGGACCTCTTTTGCCATTTGGGTTAGGCTATTTTTTAAGGTGTTATTTTCTTCAGTATTTTTTTGGGTCTCCTTTAGCAAGCTGTTGACTTGTTTTTCATGATTTTCTTGCATCACTCTCATTTCTCTCCCAGTTTTTCCTCTACTTCCCTTACTTGCTTCTCAAAATCCCTTTTGAGCTCTTCCAAGGCCTGGGACTGATTCATATTTTTCTTGGAGGCTTTGGATGTAGGAGCTTTGACTTTGTTGTCTTCTTCTGGTTGTATATTTTGATCTTTCTCACCAAAGTAAGATAATATAGTCTGACTCTTTTTGTGCTGCTTGCTCATGATCCCGGCCAATTACTTGAGTTTTAAACTCTTTGTTAAGGTGAGAGTCTGCTTCCAGTGTGGAGAATGTACTGTCCCAATTTTCAGGGGTTTGTGTAGCTGTTTTCAGAGATACTCATAGGGACCTGTAAATTTTCAGTTCTCACAAGGTGGTATGATAAGGGGCGAGGTGTTTACTCCTTTCCTGGCCTGTAACCACAAGTACTCCTTTCTGTCCTGTAACTGTGAGGAGGGGCTCCTCTCTACAGCCACTACAAGCTCCTACACGCCAGCACTCCTCCTCCCCCCAGCACCGCTGCCCAGAACTGTGACCCAGATCCAAAAACGGCAAAGCAAGAGATTCCTGCCTCAGCACTGTCAAAGAGATCCCTGCAATCCCTCTCTGATCAGCCACTGGATTCCCCCTCAGTCTGTGGGCCGGAAGCTCGGGAAGTAGCTGCCCCCCACCCCCCGGGGCCACGTTCTTGGGGAATGGAGCTGAAACCCCGCCTTCCTCTCTGAGTACCGCAGAAACAGACTTTTCCCACTGACCTTCTAAGTCGTCTTTGTCATTTGTGGATTGAGGAGTCTGGAAACCTCCACAGCTGCCCGAGATTCAGTCCTCTGAGGCCTGCTCCAGGTTTGCTGCGGCCTGCGCGCCCATGCTGCACTCCCAGCCTGGCACAATACACCTTTCTGATCAACCATCCAGGCTGTCTTGGGCTGGAAATTTGTTTCACTCTGTCTTTTTGTGGGTTCTGCTGCTTCAGAATTTGTTTAGAGCCATTTTTTATGAGTATTTGGAGGGGTTTGGGGGAGAGCTCAAGCAAGTCACTGCTTTCACTCTGCCATCTTGGCTCCGCCTATTGTGTGAATTTTCAAGGTTTGCCATCATTCTTGACCATTTACCTCTTCACAACATTTTCCAGAGATCAATATCCTAACACCTTTATGTTCCACAAAATCATGTCCTCTTGTGGTGCAGGACTGGAACTTTCTTCAAAAACCATGTCACCTATGAGTGTCAGGAAGAATGGAAGGTTCTTTGGAGAAGTAGAAACCATGGTGGCACTTTGTCATTCATGGCATGCAATTTCTACCTTTCAAAGAGGATGTGAAAACCAAAGTAGTTTTTCCTAGGTTTATTGGGGATGAAAATTATTTCAGTGAAGTTGTTCTGTTACAAGGGACGGGTGTTAGATCAGCCACCAAGGAATGTAGGGATTATTGACCAATTTTCTATCATGCTCCATCTTATATTTTTCTTTCTTCATTGGTTCTCTGTCCTTTTTTCTGTCTTCCATCTACATCCTTCTCTGTTTGATTCTCTAATCACAATTATGGAATTTTTAGTTTATTTTAGATATTTTATTAATGCCTTTTATCTTGACATCACAGTCATTTCCAACCCCTTCCCTCTTCTAGGTGGAACTATTTCCTGTGACAAAGAAAATCAATTAAGCAGAAATTATCTGATACAATCATATAATTTTAAAGATAGAAAGGCCCTTGATCACCTCTGGGCCAACATCCTCACTTTGGAGTTAAGGCTCATTGAGTCAGAATGAGTTGTCCCAGTTCATATCGTATGAATAATGACAGAATTGGGACTCGGTGTGAGAGGTGAGGCCAGGCAGCAGTTCACTGGAAGAAGATCTGGGGGTTTGAGTGGGCCTCAAGCTCAGTATGTGCCAAAAGTGTGATATGGCAGCTGAGAAACCTAATGTAATCTCAAAGAGTTGATTAATTG